ATTGTGTCACAGTGCTTAGTCCACCTCTGAGTTTGGTTGATAGCTTCCCAATGAGAGGGTCTACTGATAATCATCAGTAATCAATGTTCTCTTTGGCCTTACACCTTCCTGTGGTTATATCTGTTTGTGAGTGCTGCAGTAGTCTCCTTCCATTCTCGCAGCTCAGCTCCTGCTTTTTCCTCTCCACGTTTATGGATAAAGTGCACGCCGCAAYGGCCAGCCACATGTCAGACTCTCAGATTTTGAGACCATCTTCTTCTGTGTCAGGCATAGATTGAACCCAAATTGCTCAGGAGAGACCCAGACTTTCACACTCAGATTCTTTTATTATATATTTGACCTGTATTTTACATCAATGAACCCCTCCTGCCTGCTACAGTCCTCTCATATAATGCTTTACCTCAAGTTTTATTACTTTGTCTATGTTTCCTTTTGTTTCGTTGTGTATTCTGTGTTTGCTCTGACAGATTTTACTTCACAGTGTGACTTTTTGATTAGTTGTATCCGTGTTTTGGCTTGGCTGTTTTTGATTCTGCTGCTTTGGAGGCTTTCTTCGTGTTTGACCAGCTTTAGGGATCTAAAAGAACAAGAACAGAGCGCAGCCAGGATGGCAAGGGGCCCAATTTTGGACTTGGAAACACAAGGTAGTGATACAAGTCGGATCTGATCGGTCAATATTTTGTGGTATTTTTGTGGGGTCTCCTCCATCGTCTTCTTGTTGTTATAAATATTTATTCTCACTAGATGAGCCTACAGGCTGATGCCGGATCAGGATCTCAAAAGTAAGAAGTGAAACCAAGGAGCAGCTGATAAATATGCATCAAGAAAAGGACAAAATTTATGAATATTCTGTACGGACTTATTGAGCCAAGTATAATTTTGATCTCTAAATAGCTGCTTTTAATATTTTTTTACAGTTTTGAAGGAATTTATTAGTCAGTTAGTTACTGATTTGTCTTAGTTTCCTTTTGAAGGTTTGACGTTTACAAACTATTGTGTAACTATGGTTATGTCTTAACTAAAATAGATTTAGTTACATGCCCGAAACACCTTCACAACACATAATAAACTCGTATAAAGTCATTAGGAAAAATATTTTCTGTACGAGTTGCGTGCGATTCAGCCATAGGCCTGTAGTGGGCGTACCGGGCACTGAAGATCCCTGTATTTATAGACCGGAACTTCCGGTTTCAGGCAGCGCAMCAATAAAAGCTTCACTCGTAACCAGATCTGGGTTGTACMGTTCCAATCCTCTTCACATTTTAATCTATTCAATATTTATGTGGTTTCGTCTCAATTTCAGTTAACGAACACTAAATTTTCTTACAGTTTATTTAYCTATTTCTCATTTTGTGTCTTTGTATACAACAACCCACCTCAGTCAGGGCAAGGTGTAACATGTTAAATGACCTGAATGTTGTACAATTTCTTTTGCTATTCTACAGAATAAAGGAATAGGATAAAAAAAACTTTATTGATCAGCTGAGGGAAATTGGTTTTTCAATAAACAAATGCGCAGTCCATATTATATCGTTATTTTTAAATAAATAAGAGAGTATCTTTTATGCATCCAGAATCTGTTGGTGTTTGATTCCCTTCAACAGAGAATCCACTGGCTGCAAGAAAAAAAAGCAGTTTAGGAGATATACGTCTACAACGGAGTATTAGGGCCACACAACAAGATTTTTTTTAATTACKAGAACAAAGTCGTAACATTGCAACATTAAAGTCGTAACATTACAAGCATAAAGTCGTGTGAAAATAGTCGTAATTTTACAAGGTTAGTCATACTATAACCTCACATGAAAAAAAGTCTTACCACTGCTTAAAAAGGAGGAATGTTGAGCAACTTTTCAAGTTGTTCTTTAGTATTGCTTAAAATAAATACTTAATTTTAGCACATTAGCATCAAATTATCAGTAGCAGGACTTTGAAACGATTGCGCAAACGACTACGTAATAAACTGTATTGTAATTAATGGCTGCATTCACAGATTGAGTCGTCGCGTAATTTGGATGGAAGCARTTTACAAAAAGTGACCCAAAAGTCATCGTGGACCACTTCATAAACACAGACACACAATGGCTGTCCACAGCAGGTGTGAGGATAATTATGAGGAAATTAAAAAAAATCATGAACGGAAATTGGACACCATGTAAGATGACCTTTTTTCTCATAATATTATGATTTCATACTCAGTAATAATGAAAATGTCATTGTGTGGCCCTAATAGTCTGTAAGATTTCTATTTGTCTAATACTCAAATTAGAGATGAAGAAAGTCACCAACTGTTTATGATGTTCTTATCATTTGGAATTCAGGGTAAAAATGGTACAATTACAGCTAATCATCTGTTTTGACCAAGGATTTCTGATTGTGTCCCAAAAAATGACTCCGAACAGAACTGCCCATTTAAACTTGCTACTACGAGAAACTTTGAATGTTCTGCTATGTGAACAAGTATTAGACCATATGAAGTACACCACTAAATATAAAAGCAGTGAAACGAAGCTATTCTATCCAGAAGCAGGACATGTGAAACCTTAACTGCAAGAGAAAAGCTTCTTAATCTTTCTTTGTCCTTCATTCTGTTTTACTTTCATCCTCTATTTTCCTTCACATCCCTTCACTCTGATCCGTCTACCTCCGCTGAACGTGTCGAGCCAAGATACAGGAACCAAATATCAGCACAATAGATCATTTTGACAGTTTAATTTCAAAGCCTGATTATCAGTCAATTTGATAATTATATTATCCAACCATCCAATTAATGTGTTCTATATTTACAATGATGATCAAGTAAGCTCTCCATTTTTACATCGTTTATAAAGGGTGAGATATTGGAAACACAAGGGAGCTTGACAGTTTGCCTCTGAGCCTCCTTGATGAAGATATAAAAATGAGTGTTGCCACGTTTAGTATGTGCATCGCCCCCCCCTGAGAGGGTCTCACTGGTTTCCTCCTATCCGTTCCTTCACACTCAACAGAGCGTATTCAGGAGCTGGAGCGGAGCGAGGGCGAACGAACGATGAAAGGATTTTACGCCTCCTCCTCGGTATCGCTCCTCTCCTGTCTGCTCCGCGTGGCTCAGAGGAAAGTGTRGCGTTGTGCCACACAAACACACAGGGCGCAGGATCCAGGACCGGTCCTTCGTGACATGATGCCCTGTGCACTCGTTCCTGTTAGCCAGGGGGTCTCTGACTCTTCCAGCAGCAGCTCTTTATAGGGGATTAGCTCCCAGTGAAACACAGTCAAACAACGGTTTTCTCCTGGTGTGTGATGGTCTTGTGTTTGCATGTCAAATACAAGAAATTATCTACTAAACTGCAGAAATTGTCTGTAAAACTGTCATCTTTAAAGGGATCCCCGATTAGCTGTAACGTTAGACTTTATTTAATAAACATATACTTTAACTGTAAAATAAAAACTGTAAAAATACTGTAGAC